ATTCGACTGAGAAAAGTAGAGGTTTAAGATAAGTTTAAGTGTAGAAATCTGGTAAAAAGTGCAAGTAAAATGTAAGGGAAAATAAACTTTGCAAGTAAGATAAAAGACTGTAAGCAAGAATGGAAAGGAATGTAAAAATGAATGTAAAAAACTTTGATTATAAAATGTGGTGTTTCAAACGTACATTCTCAGTATTCTTTCTCACGCAACGGGTACTCGAATAATATTGAGTGTCTTGTACAATTAGTTGAACACACGGAAATCTACATAGAATCCCTATATTTATACTAGAACTAGGTAAACGTTGAGGGTTTGCCTCGCTCTAAGATGAGGACAAGTGTCCTCTGCATGCACTTCGACTTCTGTCCTTATGCCACGTTACTTTCTTCAACTGCCAGGTGAACTGTTTTTCCCTCCTTTCTTCAGATTCAAAATCACTTGTTGCTGATACGAATCTTCCTGGTCGAAGGGCAAAGGCTTCTTGGTCGAACACCCCTTTTAACTTAGAAAATTTATCTAAGGATTTCTTCTCTTCTTAGCATAGCTTCGACACAACTAACATCTCCAACTCTTTTGTCGAAGCGTCTTTAACTTTAGATTTCTTCAACCTATTCTTGGCCAGTAGGACCAATATGTGTAGGTGTCAAATTCAGGAGCTAACAGTGCCACACTGCATGACTTTACAGAGGAGGACAAACTATGCAGTGTGGTGCCTCCTCTCTAAATAGTATGCATGCGTCACACAGAGCGGTTAATCGTCTGTGTGACAAAATTTTTTTGTTTGAAAAATGATTAGTTTGATAAACTTTTTGAAAATGTGGTTGTTTAAGAATTTTTTTAAAAAAATTATTATTATTTCAAAAAAAAAAAAATCCAAAATATATCTCTGAATATTAATAAAAATATTTTTGAATTTTTAGTGGTGTATGCAGTAAATTTTTATAAATATTTTTGTTTTATAAAAAAAGATAAATAGCTTTTGTTGGTCACGGCAAACGTTGCCGTTTCGGAATAGGTTTCTAAAACCCTAAACAAAAAACCAAGAGCTTCACATCTCAGCTTCTTCCCTGTCTCTGGTAACCAGCATCAACAACTTCGGCCGAATCGGTATCGGAACGAAGAGAATGGCGGAGTACGATCTGACACCGCGGATGGCTCCAAATCTCGACAGACATTTGGTATTCCCTCTCTTAGAGTTTCTCCAAGAGAGACAGTTATACGACGATAACCATATCCTTAAGGCTAAGATCGATCTCTTGAACAACACAAACATGGTTGATTACGCCATGGACATTCACAAGACGCTCTACCATACTGAAGATGTCCCTCAGGATATGGTCGAACGTAGGGCTGATGTTGTTGCTCGTCTCAAGTCTCTTGAAGATGCCGCCGCTCCTCTGGTTGCTTTCCTTCAGAATCCTGCTGCTGTTCAGGAGTTGAGGGCTGATAAACACTACAATCTCCAGATGCTCAATGACAAATACCAGGTTTTCTTCCTTATTTCACACAGTTAATCATTAATTTACTATTGTTTTGTAGGAAAGTGGTTATTTCTCGGAAAAAGATGGTTGATTACTGGTGTTTGGATGTCATTTATAGTCAAGAAATAATGGTTTTTAGGATTAACTGCGGTATTTTCTTTATGGTTGTTGGGTTTTTGTAGACCAGGACTTTAATCCTGGGAGTTGAAACTTTTCTTCTTCTGCCAATTATAGATTTAAGCTGCCTAAGGGTTTTCGGTGATCTTTTAGCAAGGGGGTGTTAGCGAGACAACTTAATTGAGGGCTATTTAAATTATTGTTTATCACATGAGAGTTTATAAGGTACCGCTCAAGCGTAAGGAAATTTTTTATTCGACTGCGATGTTGTACGGGAAAAAATGTTGGGCGCTTAAGAATCAACATGAGAATAACGTAAGTATAGTAGGGATGATGATGTTGTGTTGGATGTGTGGTAATACTAGAAAGGATAGGATTAAAAATGAAAATATTAGAGAGAGAGTGTCTGGGTAGCACCTAATGTAGAGAAGAGGGTGGAAAATAGACTTACGTGGTTTGAGGATGTAGATAGAAGACCAGTAGATCAGATGGAGAGAAGTCAAACAACTAGAGGAAGTGAAAGACCTAGAAAGACTATAAGAGAAGTTTTTAAGAAAGATCTCGAGTTTAACAATTTGGATAAAAGCATGGTTTTGAATAGGATATTATGGCGAAAGTTGATCTATGTAGTCCACCCCACTTAGTGGGACAAGACTTGGTTGTTTGTTATTGTTGTTTCATTACTTGAATATGTGGTGAGAGACTCCTGTCCTCATAAGTTTTCTATAATCTGTTTCTATATAGTATATTGTTGAGCTTATTTCATAAGCTCAAAACAGTTTATGGACATCATAAGCTATTTTTATAAGCTTTTTCATACACTTGCTTGCACTAGTACTTATGTCATCAGATAATCATAAATAAGTTCTTTCAAATGCCCCTAATATGGTCTCTTGCTAGTAAGGATCAGATGAAGCTGTTATGTTATTAACTTAGACTTTAAGGTGATTTAACTGCTCTTTGATTTTAGTATAATGCCACTTTTAACTAAAATAGATAGAATGATAGTAATAATATAATTTCCTTCCATTGTTTTTCAGAGTTTTGTTTTTTCAAGCACACTTTTTTCTTTTGGAATATGGAATTTTGTTGCATCTGAATTCTGACTTCTTAATGGATGATTTTGTTTTAACAGATTGGTGCTGCACAAATAGAGGCATTATACCAATATGCCAAGTTTCAGTTTGAATGTGGAAACTACTCTGGTGCTGCTGACTATCTTTATCAGTACAGAGCATTATGCACAAATAGTGAAAGGAGTTTGAATGCATTGTGGGGAAAGCTGGCAGCTGAAGTATTGATGCAAAATTGGGATATTGCTCTTGAAGAGCTCAACCGCCTGAAGGAAATAATTGACTCAAAGGTTGTTCATCATTTCATCCATTGAGTAGAACCACTTTCTTACTTGTATTGCTGTTATTAATTTAGAATTACGATTGGTGAACTTTTTTGCAGAATTTTTCATCACCTATTAATCAGGTGCAAAGCAGAATATGGTTGATGCATTGGAGTCTGTTCATCTTTTTCAACCATGACAATGGAAGAACACAAATCATTGATTTGTTTAACCAGGACAAGTATGCCTTTTCGACTTATATTCCCTTTCTCTGGATGTCTTTATTTGATTTTGTTGTTAATAAGCATAATATACTTTGTCAATTGCTTCCTCACTCTGGGTGACCTAAGTATTTTAAATGTTGTGTTGTCTAATATATGTGATACCTTTTGTAGGTATCTCAACGCAATCCAAACTAGTGCTCCACACCTTTTGCGATACTTGGCCACAGCATTTATTGTCAACAAGCGCAGGAGGCCTCAATTCAAAGATTTTATAAAAGTTATTCAACAAGAGCAGAATTCATACAAGGACCCCATCACCGAGTTTCTGGCTTGTGTTTATGTCAACTATGACTTTGATGGCGCTCAAAAGAAGATGAGGGAGTGTGAAGAAGTAAGTTCCCTTTCTGTTGCCTTTTAGCTAATAAATGTCAACTATCGAAGTGATGTAAATGTTCACTCAGTTTTTCTTTTTATTTTAGCATTTGTGTACCAGTTAAGTACTCGTTACACCTCTGTGTTGATTATAATATGCTTACCATTTGTGAAAATGCAGGTAATTCTCAATGATCCCTTCCTTGGTAAACGAGTTGAAGAAAACAACTTCTCAACTGTACCATTAAGGGACGAGTTCCTTGAAAATGCTAGGCTGTTTATTTTTGAGACATACTGTAGAATACACCAACGCATTGACATGGGGTATGTACCTAGTATCTGATTCAAGTATTGTAGTTCCCGGGCTGTTTATTTTTGAGGCTTACCATAGAATACACCAATGCATTTACAGTATGTACCCAGTATCTGATTCAAATATTGTAGTTCCTGTTGGGTACAACTTTTAAAAAAGTTCTTGTTGGATACAACTTTAAAAGTTCCTGTTAGGTACAAACTTTTTTCAAAAGCCTCTATTTTTTACCACGAAAAACACGCTTCAATTTCTGTGCCATTAATCTTTTGATAGTCCTATCAACATTAAATGCACAAAATTAGAGTTGTGCCTTATGATGCTTTATTGTGTCTGATATTAACCTTGAAGATTATTCCCTCTGGTCTGCTTTTACATGCAACACAACTATATTACATACTGGGATTTTAAAGTTGCGAGTTGCAACTACTATTTTTAACTATAGGGTTGCTCAATTGCTGATATTTCTTTAATAGAATTCTTGCCGAGAAGCTAAATTTGAATTATGAGGAGGCTGAGAGATGGATTGTGAACCTCATCCGTGGCTCAAAGCTTGATGCCAAAATTGACTCTGAAACTGGAACGGTTATCATGGAACCTAATCATCCGAATGTGTAAGTTGACATTGATTACAGACTTGATATATAAGGGCTTTTATAGTCTTGTTGCTTACTAAGTTAATACTATTATTACTACTGTTTTGATTTTCCCCTTATTTGTTTCTTTTCTATGGCCCTTAATCTTTGAAATGCTTCATGTACAGGTATGAGCAGCTTATAGACCATACCAAGGCCCTTAACGGTCGTACTTACAAATTGGTCACTCAGATTCTGGAACACTCGCAAGCCCAAGTAGCTCGTTAAGCTGTCTAGGTAGGCTAAGGAGAGCTGTTATATCTTTTTCCTCAATGCATCAAATTGTTTTTTTGGTATTTAGATTCCATACAAATTCATGGGCTGTAACCTTACTTGAAGGTTGTTTTTTCTGATAACTCGCTTTAACTGTCGATCTAGATATTTAGCATTTTTAATTACCATTTTGTTTATACATTTACCATGAATTTCCTCATTTGGGCTTTTAGCTGCATCAACCTTCTGGCTTAGTTTTGAAGTTCCATCTGTTTCAACTGGTTAAATCAGAAACTAAACCCATCATTGATCATGCTATCGGACTGTATGTAATTAAATTGGTATCAAATGGGTTAGGTAGGTGAAAATTGGATAAAACCTGTCAGTTTGCGCATCGTTTTTACATGTAGGCGTTGAAAAACAATTCAGAGAAGACATTGAGAATCAGAATTGATCATGCCCAATTTTTTATAGATGATTTAATCTTTGAATACACATACATACTTGTGCACTAATAACAATTAACTAATTTTTTGTTTATAATTTACAACTTTTTTGAAAAGAAATTTTATGATATATTAATATCATTAACATTTAAATTTAAGGGGAATAAAATTTTATATTTGTATTTTTTTCTTACACAAGATTAAAAAAAAAGTTTTCATCATTTTTAATTTTAAAGTATAACATTTATGTTATCATTATTTATAATAGGGTTAAATATGTTTAGTCTCTATAAATATGACATTCTTCAGTTGTAGTCCCTACAAAATTTTTTGTTGAACTTCGATCCACACAAAATATTCTGTTACGAGTTATAGTCCCTCCTGTTAGATTGTTGTAATGGAGGCTGACGTGTCCCATTTTTTTTTTGAAACGTGGGTTTTTTATTTTCTCAAATGTCAGTGTGGATCCATTCATATGTAATTCTCTATTACTTAGACACTCTCAGTTGTTCTGGTTTCAAGATTTTTTGTCAAGTTCTATCACGAAAACTTAAATCCTAGGTTGTCTCTCTTATCTGATTCTAGTGGTCCCAACATCAAAGTTTTTCTTGTGGTCCCAAAACGATCAATCACGTGAACATTGTTTCCTCAAATCAGTTGCGTGGTCCTAGGTATGTTCCTTTGGTAATGCTTTTCTTGTGTTGATTTTGTTATGCTAGTGGTAGATTAACAAACATTAGTGTGTATAGGACAACGATTCAACCGTAATTTACTGATTCACTGGCCTCTATTTCTATTGAAACCGTAGTAATAGTAATAGTTTAGATTCTACTATATTTATTTTCCCTAATTGAATTTGGGTATATTTACTATATAAGATACGACAACATTTAAGGTCATTTTCAACACAAGGGGCTATTTTGTAAAAGACCCTGACCTTAAATATGTTGGTGGGGAAGTGTTTGTCTTTGAGGGCCAAGATCCAGATTATTTCTCATTCTTTGAAGTCCGTGACTTGGTGAAAAGTATTGACTCTGCATTCGATTATAAGACTGTTAAGATGTGGTGGAAACATGAAGAAGGATCCCTTGAAGCAGATATGTACCCATTCAAAGATGATGGAGATGCTTTAGAGTCGACTGTATATGCAGTTGGGAATAATAATGCTATTGAGATATACTGTGAGGCTAAACCAGAAGCAGAAGGTAACACATTTATGGATAATGTTAGAGAAAAGGGGAAGGGTAAGAACTGTGAAGAAGAGAATGAAGGAACAAGTGATTGTAGTGGGAATCTGTAAGGGATGTCCATTTTGATGACAGTGAGGAAGAGAGAATGAATGGGTTTGATGATGGGTTCGAAGAAAGAGTTGGTGCAGGCGTTGATGATGAAATTGTTACTTCACCTGTTGCAAATATCAATGCCCCTAGTGAACCAGCCAAGCCTATGTTTATCACAGAAGAGATGGGTAAGACATATGTCATTGAGGAAGAGTACATGACTGATGATCTGAATAGTGGAGCTGATGATGATAATGGTGATGAAAGGCTATGTGTCATCAGGTTCAATGTAGAAGATGCTTTTAGTAAGGGTTATGTTTTTAAAGTTGGGATGGAGTTTTGTTCTTTGAGACAATTTAAAGATGTTATTCTAGAACACAATGTTTTTAATGGTAGAGAGGTGAAGTTTGAAAAAAATGACTCCAATAGATGTAGGGTGGTATGTAAGGATAAGAAGAAGTGTAACTACATTGTGCTATGTAGTAGGGTCATAACATCTTCAACTTTTAGGATAAAGACTTTATATTCTAAGCACAAGTGTGGAAGACAATTTTTTTAACAAAAGTGCTAGAGCAGAGTGGGTAGCTAAGGTAATTGTGAATGATTTGAAGAATAAGATTAAGATGAAATTGAATGAGGTGGTGGCAGATGTTGGGCTTATATATGCCACAGAAATCCCAGGCTGTAGAGCCTTTAAAGCAAGGCAGATTGCTAGACAAATTGTGGAAGACGATTCTAGGAAGCAGTTTAACATGTTGTGGTCTTATGGAGCTGAGTTAAGAAGGACATCTCTAGGAAATACCTTCAAAATCAACACAAGTTGTTTAGGTCCAGGTTTGAATCCAAGATTTGATAGGTGCTATATGTGTTTTGATGGGACAAAGAAAATATTAACAAAAGGTTGTAGACATTTCATTGTGTTGGATGGATGTCACTTGAAGCACAAGTATGGTGGTATTTTGCTCATTGCTGTAGGAAGAGACCATAATGATCAATATTTGCCAATTGCATTTGGTGTTGTGGAGAATGAAACAAAAGACTCATGGAGTTGGTTCATCAAATTGTTGTTGGAGGACATTGGTGATGACAAATGGTGTTTTATTTCTGATAAGCAAAAGGTAATGTATATCTTACTATTCTTTTGTTTTTCTATTTTGCTAATGCTTTTACTAAATTGTTTTATATATTAATATGATAGGATCTTGTACAAGTGTTTGAAGAGGAGTATCCAGGTTTTGAGCACAAATTATGTTTAAGTCATTTATATGCTAATTTCAAAAATAAGTTTGGTGGAGAAACTTTGTTTAGGGATCTAATGATGACTGCTGCAAAGGCAATTTATTATGAGGCACATGAGACAAAGATGCCCATGATCAAAGAAGCAAAGTAGGAGGCTTATGACTGGTTGAAGGCCATTTCCAAAATAAAATGGTGTAAGCATGCTTTTCCATTCATCTTAAAATGTGATATCTTAATGAATAATCTAAGTGAGTCCTTTAATGCAACCATTCTTTTGCAAAGAGACAAATTAATTATTACTATGTTAGAGTGTACTAGAAACTATCTAATGAGTAGGTTTGCAACACTTAGGGAAAAAAATTGATGGTTATAAGGGGCATATCATGGCCAAACCATTAAAGAGATTAGATAGAGAAATTGAAAAAAGTGCCAGCTGGACAGTGTAATACGGTGGGAAAATTGACTTTTTGGTTTTATTCAAATGTGCAGATAGCTAGAGTCGTCACCGACTTTTATTTTATCCAATATTTAGGAAAGATGAAAAGAACAGGAAATACCTTTGATATTTTTAATTTCGGGGGGTAAGTTATGAAAAAAGAATGTGTTAACACCCTTTTCATCCGTAGTTATATACAGGCTCTTAATTGCTTAGCTCACTTTTGGAAATCTTGCTTTGTGTGTGTGATTTGTTTGAAAATATTTTGAAATCGCCAATGTAAGGCTGACTTTGTAATGATTCTTGTATTAGTCCTCAAGAATGTATACAAAGTGTTATTTTTGAAAATATTTATTTGAAAGTGTAGTGTGAAAAAAAGTTTTGAGAAAAGTTGTGAGCAAGAAATTAAGAGTTTCTTACCCACTAAAGTCATTCTTATTCTTTTCCTTCTCCTTTAGAGATAATACTATCCATACCATTAGTTGGTAGGTAGCCCTATCTATTGGATGTGAAGGGACAGACGTAGGGTCATCGTATGATTATCGAAGGCAACAAGTAAGGATACTTTAACAATTGTATAGAAGGGACTATCATCATTTTGTAGGCAACTCGAAGGGACTAGATCATTTTGTAGGCAACTCGAAGGGTAATCGAGGGATTATGATCTTTATTCGAAAGGGACATGATAATTTGATCGAGGGTCTTTTGCGAAAGTATTCCCACTTTCGAAGGACGTGACCAATATCATAAGGCAACAATAGAGGTTATCCTAGAGGTGAAACTGTGCGAAGTGTATTAATTCAGTTATTTATCTTGAATATTGAAGTTTTCTAGATTGTTTTTAGTCTTGCCACACAAAACCAAGTTACTAGCAGTTAAATATGTACAAAAAAATAAAGTGTGAAATCTAAAGTCCTAAGCTATTACATGACTTTAGGAGAGGTACATAAGTATAAAAATTCACGAGAAAGTAAACCTACGCTATTACATTATGTGAGGAGTTACATAATTAGAAAAAAATGCGAGAAAAGACATCTATGCTATTACAATTAAAGAATTCAACCTATACAATTTTCTATGAAAATTAAATAGCAAGAATAAAGAAAATAGAAAAATAATGTTAAAATGTTTTATGAATTTTTTGTAGAAAAATAATTTAAGTTAATAATAGTAATTAAAACCTAAATCCTAATTCATTTTAAGGTTAAAAAAAAAGCCAATTTAATTAGTTAGTAAATAAAAAATATAAGAAAAAATTAATTACTAACTAAAACCCTAATCCTAATTTGTTAGTCATTAAGAAAAAAAAGATTAGGTTAGTTAATTGCTAATTAAAAAATAATTAAGAAATAAAATTAAGAAAGAAAATATAAAAATTAGGTTAGAAAAATAGGGTAAAAAATACTACACGGGGTGGGTGTTGAACCCACGGCCCCTGACTTTACAAACTGCACTACTTGCCACTAGACCAAGTGTTTGTTGGTGTTTGAGAAATAGGCATTGATTAATATATATAAAACCCGCGCGTTAGTTTGAAAAATAACAAAAAAAATAACTGTAAGACGCAGTGATCGAACCCACACCCTTCACGTTACATGCCTCCGTCTCAACTAACCGTGATGCGCTTAATTTGGATTTCATGCATTTTCTCAAAATTGTCCAACTTGCACAAATCATATCTCACTCAATTTTTATCACATGAAGGTGATCTTGGACTCTTTGGAAATCTTAAGATATCCCTTACAATATTCATGTTGGTCATTTTTTCATTTGAAGCCTTTATCTTGATGTAAATTGCTTTGACAAAAAGTGTCTTTTTGTTGATTTTTAAAATGACCTGTAATATGTTGGCACATATCTCTCAAATGAAGCATTTTTGGCCTTAAGCTTAAAGAGACAAAGTTGTACAGAATTGAATTTCCTTTAAAATGAGCTTTAGTTGAGAAATTTCTGATGAAGTATGTGAAAGTTCATTTGACTTCTCCTTAAGAAAACCCTGATTTAGTAACTTTTGACTTTTGATGAATCTTAAGTTTTCTTGATGAATCACGATCAACCCTGATCAAATGATGAATGTGACTTAAAAATGTTGATGTTGACCAAAAATCTTGAAGTTTGACTGTAAATTGGTCAAAGTCGACTTTTTGCCCAATATAGTTGATTTTCAATCATCTGACTAGTTGACTGAGCAAACTTGTGCTGCAAGGCTTGGAATTTGGCATGAGTATTATTTGAGACATATGAGAAACCATGAAATCCACTTGAGGCATTAGAAGTCCAATTTTCCTTGAGAGAAGCAAAACCCTAGTTGTAGGTCAATTACTTAGGAGGAGGGTTGTCTGATCAATCCTTGAGTAGTCTTGAGAAATTGAGAACCCTAGAAACATGGAGAGACCTATTGAAATATTTTTTCTTGAATAATGTGAGGGAAAATTTTAGGGTACAACAGCTGCCCCTGTTCAGTTTTCTTAAACTTGAAGAGTTAGATTGGCATGCTCGCCATTCGTGATTTGAAGGTGGAAGAGGATCAAACACTTAAGTGCCCATAAATTTGCACTCACATGTGAACGAAGTAACACTGTTGGTTTATTATATTGCTTGAATGAGCTTAAAGTTTCCATTCGAAGAGGTGATAGAGTGTCGTCAGAGATGGGCTTATAGATGCCATCCAAAGTAACTATTGATAGGAGCATCAGAATGAGTCTACGCTTGACTTTATCTGAAGCATGCTTTTCAGAATGAATCTATCCGATCCTATCTGAGAGAAATAATTTTCAGAATGAATCTCTGAAGGAAATGCTTTTCAGAATGATGCTCTGAACGAACAGCTCGTCAGATTTAGTCTCTGAGGGAAATGCTCGTCAGAATAAATCTCTGAGAGAGGTGCTTTTCAGAATAAATCTCTGAAGGAAATGCTTGTGAGAATGAATCTCTGAGGGAGGTGCTTTTTAAAAAAAATCTCTGAAGGAAATTCTTTTCAGAATAAATCTCTGAAGGAAGGTGCTTTTCAGAATAAATCTCTGAAGGAAGTGCTTTTCAGAATAAATTTTTGAAGGAACTGCTTTTCAGAATAAATCTCTGAAGGAAATTTTCAAAATAAATCTTTGATTGAAGTTTTGCATGAAATCTTTCTTTTTTAGGCCGATCATGTACCAATCAATATTTACACGTTTTTTTGCAAGTTGTCACCAGCTTTTTAGACTTATGACTTGATTCAAAAATATATCTTCATGCCTTGATTCATTCACTTGGTATCTTATTTGATGTATTTTGCTTTTAATTGAATAAAAAAAATAAAAGATATAAAAATCACAAAAATAAATGAATGGATTTAGGAGTCTATTATGAGGTCAGAAACACGTTTGGACCTTAAAAGATAGGCCCATTAGCCCAAAAATCCAAATTTGCTTAATTTGGATTTCATGCATTTTCTCAAAATTATCCAACTTGCACAAATCATATCTCACTCAATTTTTATCATATGAAGGTGATCTTGGACTCTTTGAAAATATCAAGATATCCCACACAATATTTATGTTGGTCATTTTTTCATTTGAAGCCTTTATCTTGATGTAAATTGCTTTGACAAAAAGTGTCTTTTTGTTGATTTTTAAAATGACCTGTAATGTTTTGGCCCATATCTCTCAAATGAAGCACTTTTGGCCTTAAGCTTAGAAAGACAAATTTGTAGAGAATTGAATTTAATTTAAAATGAGCTTTAGTTGAGAAATTTCTGATGAAGTATGTGAAAGTTACGCTTGGTCAAAGTTCACTTGACTTCTCCTTAAGAAAACCCTGATTTAGTAACTTTTGACTTTCGATGGATCTTGAGTTTTATTGATGAATCATGATAAAACCTTGATCAAATGATGAATGTGACTTCGAAATGTTGATGTTGACCAAAAATCTTAAAGTTTGACTATAAATTGGTCAAAGTTGACTTTTTGCCCAATACAGTTGATTTTCAATCATCTGACTAATTGACTGAGCAAACTTGTGCTGCAAGGCTTGAAATTTGGCATGAGGATTCTTTGAGACATATGAGAAATTATGAAATCCACTTGAGGTATTAGAAGTCCAATTTTTCTTGAGAGAAGCAAAATCCTAGTTGTTGGTCAACTGCTTATGAGGAGGGTCTGTCTGATCAATCCTTGAGTAGTCTTGAGCAATTGAGAACCCTAGAAGCACGGGGAGACCTATTGAAATAATTTGTCTTGAATAATGGGAGGAAATTTTTTTGGGTACAACAGACAACAACATATGCTGGTAGGTTGAATTTCTAAGTTACATATGTTCTTTTCAGTGATAGTTTTATAGTGGACCTGGAAAAATTAAGTTGCTCATGCAACTATTGGGAACTGATAGAGATACCATGTAGGCATGTTGTGGCAGCTATTCATAGGAAGGTAGATGATCCGGTTAAGTATGTGAACAAATGTTACCATAGGACCACTTATGAGCACTGTTATAATGAGGTGATCACACCTTTAAATGGTCAAAACAAGTGGCCTAAGACATCTAATACTATTATTATGCTACCCTAGTTCAAACGTGGCCCAGGGAGGCCCAAAAAACTACGCAGGAGATAACCCGATGAGGTAAGCTAAACCAAATGGCAAAGAACCAATACAAGTCATATGTGCAAGTTCTGTTTTGAATTAGGGCACAATAAGCGAATTTGCAAGAAAAATAAATAACTTGTTGTTGTGACATCTACGAATACAATAGATATGCCTCCAACTGATATATCTACATCTGATATGCCTATAAGAGAAATGCCTACACAAGACATTCCTACTCAGGCCAGTCAAACTAGCAAAAAAAGGGTATGTGTAAATTATATGTTTTCTGCATCTGATATAATAATATGTGTTATACGTGTAAATTTTGATTTTGTCACATGTTTTATGCATTAGGGGAGATCTATGGGGTCTATCAACAGGGAAAAGAAGGATAAGTCTGAACTTAAGACTAAAAAACCTAAGGAAAAAAAGACTAGAGAAAAGTCTAAACCACTTGAGGCACAACTATCTGCACCTGTTGAGGCACAACCATCTGCACCAGTTGAGGAAGAACCAGCTGCACCAATTGAGAAAGAACCAGCTGCACATGTTGAGGCAGAAAAGGATGATGCACAACCAGCTGACAATGATTCACAATCCTCTTTGTTAAAATATTATGGAAGATGGAAAACCAAATGATAGTGGTGGAAAACATTCAAAAAAATGGGAAGACATTTGCAAGGGAATGACTTAGTGATGAAGAAATCTGGACTTTATTAAATGTGTGTTTTGTGTAATGTGGCTTGTACCACTAATGACATGTGTGTTTTGTGAACAATATGTTTTTTGTTATGAAATTTGTAATGAACAAAGATAGTTTGCAATGTGTAATATGGCTTGTACCACTAACTTATTTTGATGTAATGACCAACTTTTAAGGTTTATTGCTTTTATCTGTCAAAATTATATGTCAATAATTTTTGGTCATAAAAACTGCATATTATAAACCACTTAAGGATCAATTTATAGGTCAATTACATGTCAATAATTATAGGTCATAAAAACTGCATATTATAAACCACTTAAGGGCCAATTTATAGGTCAAATGATGTCCAATAATAGGTCACTTTAACAATATTACATTACATTGCACTTCTAAACTACGTTAAAATCATATCTTTGACATAATTTGGAAACTACTTGTTAATACCAACTTAAACAACATTACATTGCACTTCTAAACAACAATAAAAACATTACATTGACATAATATAAAAACTACTTGTTAATACCAACTTAAACAACATTACATTGCACTTCTAGACAACATTAAAAATATTACAACACCCGCATAAATACCACAATACAATTCAACAAGACACAACAAAATTACATAATAAGACAAGTACACAATATTAACAGTTACACTTCTATATAAAAAACATGTTGATCATTACGGACACAACAAGACACCATGACTTCAAATTTCCAGACCACGCATCTGCCTTTAACTTCATCTACAATTTCTTGTTCTTCTTCAAAGTATTTTCTCACAGCTCCCTCACGGGATCAAGAGCATGTATCTCCCTTAACTGGCTCTCATTTTTATCAATTTTTCATCTAACCTTTCATAAGCTGCAATTCCTTGAACAATATCATCATCCCAGATAAATAGAGTACAAGTATCTTCATGTTGCCAGAACGGACATCTCCAAAATAGATGATCTTTGTTATGTCCATTCTTACAGTGGTACGAAATCAACCGCGCATCACACGCACATCTCAATGAAGTATATGACCTATGGATTGATATGAAATTGACTTGCTTCTCCTTATGAAGATGACATAGTCGGTCGCGCATGACAGTTGACAAATTACTGTGTTTGAAGAAGTAAACGAGGTGGGTTTGAAGAAGACGAACGAAAGGGGTGGTTGAAGAAGAAGGACGAATAAGGAGGAAGAAAGACAGTGAATTGTGAATGAATAGAAACAAATCTAGGGTTCCAACCGTACCTCTTGCCATTTTATTGGGAAAAAAATTCCTACGTGTTATTAAAATACACAGTTGGCACAACACGTCATCCTTCGTTAGAGCAATCTAACGGGAGGGATCAATACTCGTGACGGAATATTTTGTGAGGATCAAAATTCGACAAATTTTTTTATAGGAACTAAAATTAAAAGATACCATATTTATAAGAACCTTAAACATAATTAACCATTTATAATATTTACTAAACAAGCTAACTAGTAATTCAGTATTTTGAATTTTAAAACACTAATCTAGCATGAACCAACAATGTTTAACGCAAAAATGAGTAGGCTAATTTGGTTGAAAGGATAATGGAAATAAACTACATTATTTTTACATTGGCTTTTTTGTTCTAATTTTTTATGATTATGTTTTATTCTTATAGTTTTTTTGCATTATGAATGTAATCTTGTAAAGTCTACGCTAATATGTTATTAAAACTTAGTTTAAAAAAAAATAAAAAACATCATCGGTTTGCTTTAAGATTTTCAAAGTAAAATAATATTGGATAAGAGTTATCTGGAGGGAAATTCCAATCAAATTCCTTAAATACAATCCATAATTGTTTTAGCATATTATCAACATGAAATCTTCAAAAACAACAAACTCAGATAAAAACAAGATGTATACTCATTTTAGACATGTATTATGTAGTCAATAGTAACATTTCTCCACTCCAAAACCAAGAAAAAAAAGAAAAACATAATGGTCAGACTCAGACATAAAAAAACACTTGAGAAGGACCAAACATGAAATGAAGTTTGTTAATTTTCCCCATATAGACCCTTGAGATGACTTGAGAAATTCATGCATTGGTTCTCATTCTGATAGGAAGACATATCCAAAAATCCTGCTCTTACTCTTGGTGTGCTCATAGACCTTACTTTTCCTTTGCTAGATTCAGTTAGAGACATGTATTTAGGAAAAACATGAGAGTTTGGCATGGAACTCTCATCACCAATTGAACTTCTTTTTACATGGGAAAATGATTTTCTTTGGACTGAAACTTTTGAACTCAATTCTTCATGTAACCACTCTCCTAAAGTACGACAACTATCTCCTCCAAATTCTTCCACCCTTTGAGAAAATGTTCTCTCCTGAAAAATATATACCACATGGTTATTTTCTAGTGCATGACATGAAAAAAAGGAAGGTTCAAAACTAGATTACTTTTTGTGAAGATGAGTATTGTCTCATGCGGTCTCTTTTGACAATAGCCTCTTGCTTTCTTAACCATATAGCTTCAATGTCTTCTCTTGAGTGTGAGCTACAATTCCATGCTCTTTCACTACAGCATTCAGCCAGTTTTATCTGACCATTTTTGTAGTTTTCTTCTTCAGTATGGCTGCTTCTGTACTGGTTTTCCTTCTGAGTTTTTGCATTTGATCTGGACAATTGATGCCTAACAGCTTCACCGCGAATTATGGCCTGTAGTCTTATAACTCCCTTCAATGCTCTTAATGCTTTCCTAGCCTTTTTCATTACCAAATTATAAGTTCTTCATAATTTAGACAAAAGGTTATAGTTTGATAATTCAAGGAAACTCACTAGATGTGCACGATAAACGCTTTGAATCTTGATGGCAGCCAAACTTCTGTTTCCTTCGGAGAGATATGAGTACGAACGAGAGGCACCGCCTGTGAGCTTGACAACTTCAGCAGCAACATGTGCAGCAGCGATTGCAGCCTCTGCAGCAGATGCTGTTGCAATAGCCACAGCTAAAGCATGCTTTCTCTGTTCTGCATTTGCTTCAATCAATGTCCTTTTCGAAGCAGTAATTGTAGGGTACTGCTTCTGTTTAATTTTTCCTAATCTCCACCCCCATTTCTTTTGGTTCTGGATGTTACATAAGAATTATTTGCCAAAATTAATTTTGTAGTACTATCTGTAAGATGAACACAACAATATATATATATATGTATATCTTACTTTGTCCTTTGACTCAGAAATGAATAGGTTTTTCACCCATCCGAACCAGCTCTTCCTCTTTGCCATTAAGAATTATCACATCACTCACTCCAACTGAGTTCTTCATATACCATTTCTATTCATGAAGCACATCCTATACTTGATATTCAAGAAACAAGAGAAAAGTCATGAGGAACATAGATTTTTTACTAAAAAAGAAAATACAAAACATCACATACATACACACAACAAACCTGTTTGAATTCACTTATTTGAGATAATCTTTTTGATATATGTGACTTCCAATGACCTATGTTACACAAGGAAAAGAGAATATGTAAGCACCAAAAGAAGATGATGGTCACCCTCCTAAATGCACACCCTTATGATATTTCAAAGTCTAAACTTTGTTGATGATTTCAGAAAAGAGGTTCGTTGCTCTTTGTGCGTGTCATCAAAATTTATAGGCTTTAATTAATGTGATTAGCATTGAGTACCTAGCATGTATGTGTAAAGGGAAGCAATAATATAAGTACATTGGGAAAGCCATAAGGATGAATGATTCTTGTAATGATGTGGTCAATGGATTTAGAAGATTCATCATGGTTGCTTAGAACATAAAACTACAATAGGGTCCCTTTGATTTGTCACACTAACTAAAATGACCTTTTGTTTTCCATTTTCTTTTCCCTCCGGAAGGCTGCACTGAACTGTTATTGTAACGGAAAAAATATGCATTATAATACATGTCCAAATTGAAACTATTTATCATACGATGTACATATTCTATTATGTAAAAAAAAAAAGAGAATATAATCAATAGTGATAAAATATTAAATTAGATTTGTTGAAATATTAGATTAGATTTAATATTTAAATATAATCTAAGTTGTGTAGACCCAAAATCCAATTAAAGTTGTATATAAATAGTCCTAGTCTGTATCATTATTTGTACAATTCAATAATATAAATCCTTATTTCATTTATTATTCTCCCTTTTTCTCCTCACTAAAGTGTCTCACGCACTAACAAATTGGTATCTGAGCTTCCGGTTATTGTTCTTGATCGAGTTTTCAAGAATTTCACGTCAAAAATCGTGTTTCTAGGACAAGTGAATCAACCGCTGCGAAGATGACTAGTGATAATAGCATTCTGAATTCTCTTACAATACTTGACGACAAGAATTGGATCCGATGAAAAAAACAGATGCAATCCTTATTTGACTTCCATGAAATCCTAGAAGTGGTTATCGACGACGTTCCTGCATTAGCTGCAAATGCAACCGACAAAAAGAAAAAAGCCCACAACAAAGTCAAGAAGAAAGATTGCAAGGCTGCTTATTGCATTCAAACGGCGGTCAATGCTGCTAATTTCGACAGAATCTCTCATGTTGAAACGACGCATGAGGCATGAGATATTCTGGTGAAGTATTACGAAGGAGGTGAGAAAGTCAAGGTTGTCAAGTTACAAACCTTGCATCGATAATATGAGTTGTTGTCGATGGGAGAAGATGAAAAAGTTGTAGAATATGTGTTGAAGGTTCAAAAACTCGTCCGTCTCATGAAGGGTTGTGGTGAAACCATAACTGATAAGATGATAGTTGAGAAGGTAATGAGAATGTTTACCTCTCACTTTGATCACGTTATCGTAGCTATTCAAGAATCCAACAATCTTGAAACCACTAAAGCGGAAGATTTGGTTGGTTCGTTGGAGGCTCATGAGATGAGGATTTTCAAAAGAAAAGGAGTGCAAGACTCGATACAGGCTCTGCAAGCTCAGTCATGGAAAAAGGATGGTGGTTTCAACAAATTCAAAGTTAATTGACAAGACTCAGGGCATGAAGTCTTGGTCGAAACCTCACAAACATCAGGTCGAAGATGGAGCTTCTGAATCCTTAAAAGGAGGAGGAGGAAACTATCGAAAGAGAAAAGAAGATAAAAAAAGTGTGCATTGCTATAACTGTGAAAAGTGGGGTCACGTAGCCAAGAATTATTGGTACAGAAAAGATAAGGTATCGACAAGCAAGGACGAAGGAGCGAATCTTGCACGCCAAGATTCAGATGATTCTGAAGGCGGTATGGTGGTTATGGCTGCAGTTGCAGATAACCATGTCGAATCAAAAATTTGGTTTCTCGACTCATGCCGCTCGAACCACATGACTGATCGAAAGGAGTGGTTCGCAGATTTTGACGAGTCGAAGAAGAGTAAGGTAAAACTTACTGATAATAGTTCGTTACAAGCAGAAGGTACTGGAAATATAGTCTTTCAAATGAGTAATAGAGGGAAAGTTATGATCAAATATGTGCTATATGTACCTGAAATAAAGTGCAACTTGCTAAGTGTTGAACAACTAGTCAAAAAAGGTTTCTCAGTTGTCATGAAAGATGGAGTTGTGAAATTGTTCGAAACCAAAAACAATTTGGTCTTAAAATCCCCGTTATCGAAGAACAGGACATTTAAGACTATGATCAGTTCGACTGAAGTTCAATGTTTGAAAATTGTTGTCGGCCACAAGGGTAATTAGTTGTGGCATTTGAAGTTTGGACGTTTGAATTTTCGATCACTCAATCAACTGATTACTCAAGATATGGTTACTAGAATTCCAAGTCTTGAGATGCCTGGAATTTTTTGTGAAGGTTGTTTAGTAGGAAAGCAATCCAGAAATTATTTCATTTCTACTATGCCAATAAAATCATCTTGCATACTCAAAATGGTACATTCAGATGTATGTGGTCCACTCGAAGAACATGCAATTGGTGGAAACATATATTTTGTTTCGTTTGTCGATGAGTTTAGTTGAAAGCTGTGAATCTCTGTGATTAAACGAAAGGAAGAAGTATTTGAAGTCTTTAAGAGATTCAAGATACTTGTCAAAAACCAGAGTGAGAAAAAGATCAAAGTTCTGCGAACAGGTGGAGGTGGAGAATACACATCCAAGATGTTTGAAGATTTCTGTGTAGAACATGATGTTGATCATGAGGTAGCTGCTCTTTATACACCTCAACATAATGGAATTGTTGAAAGAAGAAACATAACCATATTAGATATGGCGAGATGCATGCTGAAGCAAAAGAATTTGCCAAAGTCTTTACAGGGAGAAGCTGTTTCGACTGCATTTTATGTTTTGAATAGGTGTCCTATTAAGATATTGAAGAACAAAGTTCCTGAAGAAGTATGAAGTGGAAAACGACCATCAGTGAGTCATTTGAAGGTCTTTGGCTCTATGTGTTACAAGCATGTTCCTGATGCAAGAAGAAGGAAGCTTGATGACAAGAGTGAACCTATGATTCTGGAAGGATAACATAAAACAGGTGCATACATACTATTCAATCCAGTTAATGAGAAGATCATGTTAAGTCGAGATATTGTGATTAATGAAAATTATGCCTGGAATTGGAATTATAGCAATTCAATTAACAAGCCATTGATGAGTTTTTATGTCGATGAAGAAACTAATGAAGTAGAGGTCGAAGGAATTATTGAGAATCCAGTCAAATTCGAAGAAGGAGCAGTTGCTGACATTCCCGACAGAGTCGAAGTCAAAGAGGATGTGGCTGAAACAAGCCAAAGACCTTAAAGAAATAAAGTTCTTCCAACAAGACTTCATGATTATGAAGTGGTGAGTGATGATGAAGTCACACCAGATGAAGAATTAGTTTATTTTTCTTTACTTGTAGGTGATGAACCAATTAACTGTAGCGAAGCTTTGAAGACTAAATAGTGGACATTAGTTATGGTCGAAGAGTTACAGGCAATCGAAAGAAATAACACATGGGAGTTATTCGAATTGCCAACACATACAAAAACTATCGAAGTAAAGTGGGTATTCAAGTTGAAACATAATGTTGATGGCTTGATAGTAAGACATAAAGCAAGATTAGTAGCTCGAGTTTTTCTTTAAAGATAAGGACTCGACTACTCTGAAGTATTTGCTCCAGTAGAAAGATTGGAGACTGTTCGACTAGTGGTAGCATTGGCATGTAACCAAGGCTGGTCGACATTTCATTTAGATGTGAAATCAACATTTCTAAGTGGTCCTTTAGACGAAGAGGTCTATGTAACACAACCTTTAGGGTTTGTGATTCAGAAAGAAGCGAGTAAAGTATATAAGTTTCACAATAAAGTATATAAGTTGCACAAAGCGCTGTATAGCCTATGGCAGGCACCTAGGGCATGGAACAAGAAGATTGACTCATATATAGGAAGATCCTATGCTGTATGTCAAGCAAGTTGGATCAGATCTGTACTTGAAGAAATGGAGGTCGAAGTGAAGAAACCTCTTGTCTTTAAAATCAATAACAAGTCTGCCATAAATTTGGCGAAGAATCCAGTTCTGCATGGAAGAAGTAAACATATTGAAGTAAGGTTTCACTTCTTGAGGGAAAAGGTAAATCAAGGTGAACTTGAAGTAAGGCATTGCTCGAGTGAAGCACAGTTGACTGACATTTTAACTAAAGGATTTAAGATTAAAAAATTTATGAATTTAAGAAAGAAATTAGGAATAGCTAAGATTGACTATTGTAACACGGTGGGTGAATTGACTTGGGATGTTTGCGTTTGATCGCAATTGTTGCAGATAACAAGAGTCGCCACCGACTTTTATTTTATCCAATAAGGAAAGGGTGAAAAGAACAGGAAAGACCTTTGAGATTATTTCTTGAGTTTGGGGGGTAGATTATGAAAAGGGAAGGTGTTAGCACCCTTTTCATCCATAGTTATCTATGAGCTCTTAGTTGCTTGCTAGATCACTCGCTTTTGTTTGAAAGTGTGCTTTTTGGTGTGGTTTTTGAAAGTATTTTGAAAACGTGCCTTTGTAATGATTCTCGTCTCTATAAGAACACATACAAAGTGTTGTTTGGAAAATAGTTTAAAGAAGTGTTTGTGGAGTGTGTTTTTGAAAGTATTTTGAAAACATGTCTTTGTAATAATTCTCGTCTCTATAAGAATGCATACAAAGTGTTTGTCTTTTGAAAATGTTTCAAAATGAAAGTGTTGGTGTATAAAATGTTTTTGTTGTGAGCAAGTGAGCAACTAGGAGCAACCTACCCACTCAAAGGTCTTTTATTGTTCTTTTCCTCCTCCTTTAG